CGAGGGAGCGGGGCCAGACAATTTCAACATGCTTACACGCTTTCCAAGGAAAACTCTTTAACACAATTATTGCTCGCAGAAAGTAAGAGATATGGAATTTGAATACTTTGGCTTTTACTGGACGGTCTTGTTGATATTTAATTTAACATAGCATATGACAATATTACTTTAATAACTTATGTGAAAATGCCAAAAGTTTAAATATAAAACATTATAAATGAATTGATGTGATCATCCATATTGTGCCAAGAAAGGCATGATACTGGCCTGGCCTGCCTGTATAAAGCCACTGAACGAAGAATAATCAGGGATAGTTATTGTTCCACTGTACAGACACTGTTATGGTATGTAACGAGTTGCTGAGTCAGTAAAACGAATACACATGTACAACTTACACAATATATAGGTGTAGGTGTGTGTGTATGTTCGCCTTAAGAATAAAAAACCTCCCAACTGCATATGCAAATTTGAAACAGTATTTTCCGCACCTTTATCTGAAGTAACTTAACAAAATTTCAGTCTGACTATTGTTTATGACGGTTATGAGAATACAAACTGCCTGTCTAAAAAAATCGCAAAAAAGTATGACACGCTGAGCGGGTATAGTTCTAGTTCTCAATATAGCGACATACTGACAGATGTTTTTCTCATTTAGTACTATCAACTGGAGAACAGTGTTTCCGATTCCAACAAGAAAGGAGTCGACAGGTCATAACAACTGTGAACGCATCCTTCTTTGGATACAATTTGATATGCATATCAGTTCAGTAATATTGATGGTATTTTTGAAACTTGACTATCTCTTGAGAGTTATTTCGTTATTTCTTCAGCTTGGGTAACCTTTCTCTAGTAGCTAATTAGATTTTGTGTTGGAAGATCAAAAGAGTGAGGAAAATACCGTAGTTAAATGTTGTCATCAAATGATTTAAGTTGTCTAAGTAAAGGTTAGGGCTCAATATACGCCACCTGCCAATGTAAAACAAGAATATTTACCTCTGATATTCTAAAAACATCATCAAGCATCTGAGTGTTGAAAAGGTGCTTTACGATTTTGTCAGAATTGGACATTCAACTATTAGACAGGGAAAGTAGTGAAAGATACTCTATAAGAGGTTATAACCGCTTTTTGGATATCTTTCAGGTGGCCAAAAGACTTTGTATCTATTCATCACGCGAGCAATATATAACGTCAATATTTGTCAAGCTGACGTATTTAACACGGCGTATTGCTGAATGTTGAGCAATAAACTGTGCAATCCCCAAATAAACATAGTTATAATCGGAATTACTTATCAAGTGCATTTATTATAGCATCAAGTTATTTGTTTACGACTTTTTGTATATTTAGTTGTTGAGAATATTCCAACAGTATGACAGTACATGCTCCAGACAATCCGACCCGTGAAGATCCGTGTTAGAATTGATCTTCAGTAACCCATGCTTGTCGTAAGAGGCAACTAACGGGATTGGGTGGTCAGGCTCGCTGACTTGGTTCACAAATATCATCGGTTCCCATTTGCGTAGATCGATGTTCATGCTGGATTGTATGGTCCAGACTCGATTATTTACAGACTGTCGCCATATAGCTGGAACATTGCTGAACGTGGCGTAGAACTAAACCCACTCACTCACTGCAGACAATCCGGTAATTGATAACATGAACAACGACCCACGTTGTCGGACCAACTATGCTGCGTTATCAACCAAGTAGCCGACCGCGTCACCTGATCCATTTGGTTGCCTCTTGCGTACGAACTTGTGTCTGCATATATGGCCTTGGATTAAACATGACTGAACAATAGAGTGTGACACAGCCATTTCCATAATCTTAACACGATTCCAAAAGTATCAGCATGTGTTAGGAATCACTTTCAGTTAGTGATAAAACAAGGCGTTGGGAAAAGGTGACCGGTGCCGCCTGTTACAAATGCATGAGAAAGCAAGTCAAATGTACCGATCGAACACGGTAACATCAAACTAGGAAGCGTTCTTCACAAGTCCACCATGGAACGTTTTCATTCTTAAATCTTGTAAGCCTGACCATACTATGTTTAAGCAAGAATCGACTGACATTCCTATATCTTCCCAGATAAATATGTCCACACCGAAAACCAGAGCTGATTGAATACTGTTCGACATAAAACGAAGTTGTCAGTTGGAATCTGAAGTCATCATTCTTGTCCTGCAACCTTCTGGGTCATGATATTGAATGAACCCCAGTATTAATTACTGGTTCAATGTATGCACACTATGTTAAGTCCGTGTTATAGCAACACAAGATCATACGTACACCACCTAGCATAAGAGTTCACACCAATGCGCTCTGAATCATGCAAAATTTATCTTAGCGAGAGCAAGATCATTTCTAAACATGAACGAAAAAACCCAACTATTTCAATCCAATGTTTGGTTATCTATGGTTTTGTGAACTCAAGTGTTGGAGCTATAACAATTCCGAATGACCCCCTTGATGCCAGTAGGCTAAATAATGCTGAATGTGAGGGGGGCATATCAGATTAATCTTGATTTATTGCGTGTGTTCTCTTCATTCGACCCGTCCAATATCTCGCAATTGAGAAATCCATGCCTCTGACATTAAGGCTAACATGGATATATGACCTCTGCAATAGGCATCATGTGTCAATTATGTGATGGACATGTGTCCATTAGAATCCCGTGTCTCCAAACTGGTTACTGAAATCAAATGTGAGTCTGAAACATCATCTCGTATCCCGAATCCAATTTTAACCACCTAGCTATCATCATTATTATTCATGTTTATGACGAATGTTGGATATAACGAACGTATCTGATGTTGACGTTATAGACTTATTTAAAATATACGCTTTTAAGTACATTTAAATGTTAATAATATCAATCAATCAATCGGTTATCGGACCTTTCTGTTGTCAATTTTGTTGAACACGAAAATGATTCCTGACATTTTATTAGGTTGGTACACAGGTCAGACAATCACACAATTTTATGATATGGCTTTTGACCATGGCCTCATGGTAACACAGGGGTGGTGGGGTAGACTAGCGGTTAAAGCATGTGAAGCCAATTTCTGGTGTCCCCCGCCGTGATATTGCTGGAATATTACTAAAAGCGGCGTAAAACTAAAACTCACTCACTCACACTTGGTAACACAATATAGCACGCATTATTGCGTTGTATATGATCCCGCTATTAAAGTGACTTAAAGATACGACAAATCAGTCATACCAGTTTGCAATATGTTACGACATAATGTATTGAGGGCGAAGTAGATAACCAATAATTCGATACATCCAGTTATGCTATGACATGTTAGTTTAATGAGGGAAGAAAATTTTGTGAAATCAACCAGCATATATATGTCGGCAAACCATTAATCAAGATAGGTGTTAATTCTTAAAGACCATCGAAACCAAACTCGCTCTCATATCTGATATATAATGATGACTTTCAGAGTCTTCTACATTAAAAACAATGCGTTTAGTTTTTACAGTAATCATCTTTGTGACCAATCAAGTATGAAACATGAAAGTTGTTGAAATATACCAGCGTAAATATAATACCCTCCCAGACAAAACCAACACATAATGACTTCAAAGAAAACACAACTCTCAAATTAGTGATTGAAAGCAGAAGTAGTAATATGACGCCTTTGGTGCTTATGTTGCAGTTCTTATCTGACACTTCACTTAAGAAAAAATAAAAACTGTATAAAATATTGCAAAAAAAATGTTATGGTTATAAATGAAATATGGTCCTGGTTAATTTCAACGAATACAAAATGCTCTATAGAAACGTTTGTACGTGGAACCGTTTTAGAACATTAAAATTCTTAAAGAAAAACGAGTTATCTTTGGGAGGTATAAATCTCTCAAAAATATATTGATGAGGATAAGGCCATTTATCAGCGAATTTCCCATGTGGGGCGTATTCATGAACGAGTTTCTAGCCGAATGAAGCCATGAGAGGAATTTATTCGTTTGAGACTGTGTGAGGTCGGGCAGAATGGAGGCCAATTTGTCATGGGACATCGGGGTTTTATGTTTCTAAGCCCAATCAGCTACAGGACTACTTAGGGCCTTAGCGACAACACAAAGTCTTTTGAAGCATACATCGTTAACGACGGCGATAAACATTCTTAATTTTTCGTAAAGTGAGTATTTTATTGAGGATCAAATTGGAAATATTTTACTAATTTGTAATTATTTGTTTAATCTGTTTAACACTGAGAAAATATTCCGTTCTGAGTGATAAAATCCACATAAAAAAGATAGTGATAAAAGCTTTTGTAATTTGGCCGATGATATAAATACTAAGCCACAATGATAGATAATCAGTTTATCTGTACGATATAAAGAGCGTTACCAAATGTAAAAGCATCTCCTGCGATGGCTTCTAGTAATCTATTTGACTTAAATGAACACCAAGCATTCTACTTCAAATTTGGATAATATATTGATCTGAATTAAAACTGAACCAGAAAGGCTATTCATTATAAACCACTCATTAAACTTCTTACAAAAGAAGGCATTTTGAAATACATGATCCTGTGATGTAGCTGATACCCAGGCAGCGCGAGGCAATGTTAAAATATCAATTTTGTTTGATCTAGGCTGTATTAGTTATATGTAAAGGTTGCCGTCATACGCCACACTTCACATAGAGACGACATGTCCACAAAAACATGTATATCAAAGAGATGACTGTCTCGAAATTCAGGTTTAACCATCATATTAAAAATCCTTTTATTCGTTATTCGAAGTTAACTTTACATAAACCTCACTTACTAATTGAACATCGTATTCCCTTGTACTCCAGATCTTAGGGAGAATAATCGTTCTTAAAACTTACAGATCAAATTAATGGTAAGTTACATTTCTATTTGCCAATATAAATATCATATTTTGAAATACAACAAGGTTGTTGTTTTCTGAACCAATCGATGGTGAGACATACCACTAAGGACATATGTTCCATGTGAAAAAAAGAATGTAAGACAGATGTAAGTTCAAAAATGTTTTATTCTAAATGACTGCATGAGCATGGTAATGACATACAGCATAATCATATGATATCATGGCAAAACGATGTACAATTCAATTTCCGCAAGTTAACATCAACAGTAAAACGCATTGCGTGCACACTGTGGAAAGAGCTGCATCGTATTTACATGACAGCATTACCTTGTTTGAAGTCTTCATCTGTCAAACGTAAAATGAAAAAAATAAGTTCTTCATGATCGGTAAACATGAACCCTACTGGTAACAGTGAGTGAGTATAGTTTTACGCCGCTTTTAGCGATATTCCAACAATATCACGGCGGGGAACACGAGAAATGGGCTTCACACATTGTACCTATGTGGGGAATCGAACCCGGGTCTTCGGCGTGACTTGCGGACGCTTTAACCACTAGGCTACCCCGCCGCCCCCCTACTCGTAACAAGGAAAAGTGTCTCAAGGAAAGTTTTCTGTAAAGGAATTTTCTATTTACAGACAAATAAATAAGTTTGGTAGTATTCTATTATACCCCTAAATGACCATACACCGGGGCAATGGTATAACACAAATGAACACCTTAAGTTAAGAACACTTTTTACGTTTAAAAAGAATGGTATCATACGCAGACCAAATACGAGGTCTTTAAAATCGCATCTGTGCTACTTTCACATTGTACACTAGTAATAAAGACAGTATCAATGTAAGTTCTTTGACAAATTGAACTGGCCAGTTGAACAATGTATACCCGTTTCCTTCTGATTTTTGTACATCTACGTATCCTTCACATCTGGATTTTAGTAACCTGTATATTTCTATCCACCTTGAAGTAACTAAAAAATCGAATGATAGTATGTTCACTGTTCCATGTGATACCTTTGTATTCTAGTAATCCTTTGTTACGTGATGTCGCTGATTGTGATGTCGTGGTACCCGATGACGTAACAGTGGTTTGCAAAGTATTGTGATGCAATTTCATTGTCGTAGTATCGCCTCGGACATGAAGCTTAATTTTACCCAACTGATATCTCCCGTGGAAGACAAGTTTTGGATGATAAATATACTTCATATCATAGTGCAACATAAATCCTTATACAAACATACTACTCATGACTTTGTCATGATTATCCTAGAGCCACCATGATACTGCCATCCAATAATCTACATCAGTGTATGTGACTGACTATCGTTTGAGATTAAATGATACCCTACATTGGAAAACAGGCAGAGACATGTTATCACAGCAATATATAGCGAACTTATATTTGCAAAGGATATAGATACGACACAATATCAACTCGCATTGTCACACTCACGTATATACAAACATGTATATGCAATTTAAATATACAGTGCCAAATATCTAAATGTCACAAAATATGTACAGGCTTGTCAAGACATTTCAGGCTAAGATATATCGCAATTCACCGACTCATAATCCAAAACTGACATAGTTATCCTATGTACAGTATGTATACATATATATAACAGTAGGCCTTGTCAGGATTGCCCTTAAAACAATAACAACAATCTGAAATGCAATGCAATGAAAACTAATCGTCTTTGATGTTTGTTTAGTTTTAATAAATTAATGTAAATGTAATTAACTGATTGATCCATAACGTTTCATCTTGACAAGGTAATCGCTGTCGCAGATATCTGATAAACGCAACACCTAGTGTCACCATAAATCAAAGACGTCTATAAATCAAAGAGGTCTGTTCATACTCGTATATCTTTCGCATGAAAATATCACAATCAAACCAAACACACTCTTGAAAAATTATGTAAAAGTGACGACACAAGGTGTTCTCGCATCAGATCTTGCTCAACCAGTAACGACTGAAGTAGGAGTGAAGTTCGCGGTCAATATATATTGCCCCAATAAAGGAATCTCAGTAATAGAAGGGTGACAATATATTCAAAGTGCTGCATGTCTTAAACTAACTTAGCAGATGTATCTTTGGGTCGTCTGGGCTGAGGAATGGCTGTTGTCCACAAAAGAGGCACTAGTTGCAACACAACAAATATAATTCTTTGAAGCGTTAATGGTAATCGTGAAGGACAATATCTCCTTGGAAACAGTGCACATGATCTTTATATCTGAAAAAGAAAGAATTTCTTCATAGTCGCTCTTTGGTTTGACTTCCGCCATCAAACATGTGACCGCAGTGGACCCAGTATTGCTTAACCCTGAGTACTTTTCTCATTAGCACATTTCTTGAACGTATCAATCAATATTGGCAGTAGAAAATGAGCGTTATGTGATAATGTACACTACTGACAGGCATGCATCTCAAACACATGGTAAATATACATTGTGGTTAGTTCCACGTGAATTTACATAACCAGAATATAAACAAGGAAGCATATTAACACCTGAAGATGCTCTTTGGCGTCATAGCTTTTGTCTATGGAACTAAGGTATTTGGTAATACTGAGCTGCGTAAAATCCTTACACAAACGTTCACTCTATGCCCAGATATCTAAAGCCAAATTGCAATGAATATTTGGTGCATTTCTGGTATGACTGTTTGATTCGTCTTCTCAGAGTTTGTTAATTATTATGTCATCAATGCGTCTTTACAGATTCCCTATTTGTCCATAGAACATCCACACGTTCAAGCCTTGGAGTGGAAACATTCATGGAATAGTTGATATTCATCACCGTGAGTTACTGTGTTGAAGAAATATTTCTACACGAGTTCTTGTCGTAGCCATCATGGAATGCTAAACCTGTTTTCGAAAACAGTGTCAGCTTTATACCGTTATAGGACACAAAAAAAACTTGGCACTTTGACGTTCACCTTGATTTTTGGTTTATTAGAATATATGTACACGTGTTATTACACAAGTCTTTGTTTTCGCTCACGGATGTTGAGGAACATGTGAGAGTGATGAGCCAAGAGTCCCTCCTAAACGTAATTAGGACTGTTTTGAAGAACACATAATGACATGTCTTGATTATGAAAACACTTCCTCCTCTTAAAACTGTTTTCAGTTTACACAGCCATAATAAATCATAATTGCACAGTAGGTGATACATGTTCTGTGATTATGTGCTCTGTGCTTCCTGTTCCATGTCGGTGCTATCACTTTGAACCCAGGTTCACCAAGGCTAGCATTAAAGCTCCATTCCTTACTTGCATAGCACATACCTCACACGACGTAGAAACAGTCAGCTATGAAACCACACAAATATTAATCCACATAAAACTACACTGGTTGAGCAAATGTTCTTATGTGCCTGTCCTTGGACTGTTTTAGACTGTACTGGGCCACCAGGAGCGCCTGCAAGAGAATAGAAGTACAGACATTAAAATCATAACAGTCTTTGTCAAAAGAGGTTGTTCGACCCCAAAGTTACAAACTGGTGGAACAGTAATTTGATACGCCATGACCCTTGTGTTTTTCTTGATTCCAATACATTTGGGTTCAATCTACATTTAGTATCTTTGGGGCATTTGGAAGCCATTCTAGAATGGTAAACTCGTCCAGTATCATCCAACAATGAAGCTGACCATTGAGGTATTGTTATAATCATGAATGTCAAACGGTGCTTGAAACTCGCTGTCAATACAAATAACGTGATGACAAGAAAATGGTGAACTTGTGCCCATAATGTATCAAAATAGTTGGCAAGAGATGATGTCGCTTATATTCTGGTATCATTGCGAACAAACACAAACGGCATTGTGTATTCATAACTAAATATTTGACAATCCTCTACAATAATTATTGCATTTAACCATGAAATATTAATTGTATCGATATATATGTTGGATACATACACACAGGCAACAGACTACCCGTACACAGGGTCGCCATATTGTTGTTGATAGTGTTGTAGGCTTTAAGAGAGTTACCCGGATCTAACTGTGGCCTCTGATCTGGCCTCGGCGTAGGTTTCCTGGTGACGATGTTGACCACTGTATCTCCTGGTTTCCCATCCGGCGTACGGCTTGCGTGCGGGTTCCACGTTATAATTGGAATAGTTGTCGTTGTAAATGAACTTTGGGATGTCGTAGTTGGAATTATTGACGTTGTTGCTGCTGTCGTTTTTCGATTTGCTGAGTAATCTGGTGGAGAAAACGAACGCACGTCAAACATGTCAAACGTACTTAACTCTCAAATGCATTCTAAATTATAACAAACATTTGGAATATTAACAACGATAGAATATGATTTACTGCCATGTGGAGCACGGCACACTACCATTTTCATATGAGAGCTTGCCTGAAGTTTTTGAGTGTGTGTCAACTTGAGAAAAGTAATAAGATTGTTCCGTTCAACTTCCAGAGAAAGAACTGCATGTCCCAAAATGTATGTATGTATGTATGTATGTATGTATGTATGTATGTATATTATGTATGTATGTACGTACGTACGTACGTACGTACGTACGTATGTATGTATGTATGTATGTATGTATGTATGTATGTATGTATGTATGTATGTATGTATGTATTCATGTATGTAGGTATGCATGTATGCGTGTATGTACGTAGCTTGTCCACAGTCCAGATTTACAACTACCAAACCGTCCTCATCAACATAGCTCACCATATAGTATCATATTCTCAGCATCCTTCCCCACTGAGTTGGAAGACATGCACGTGTAACTGCCAAAGTCAGTGTCCTCCAGGTTCCTGATCCTCAGACTGAGGGTCATTGTATGTTCCGCTTCATGATATATCTCCACCCTGTACTTGCCACCATTGGATATCACCACCCCCTTCCTCATCCAGACACTGATCGCCTGGGGGTAGGCAGAGATCTTGCACTCCAGTATTGTCTCTCGACCGACGTCTTGACCAATCCGTTTGTTAGGGAGGCTTACCTCGGGTGGAACTGTTTGAAAACAACAATGTGATAGTATTCAAGTAAATATAACAAAATATCATTAACATGAAAAGTTACAAAGATGACAGTATTAATAAAAGGCTAAACTGTAAATCAAACAAAGAGACACGTGACCATTCATTATTTTATTGAAATTAAACGACTTGAGGCCTACTTGAATAGTTTACTAGTTAATCAGTAACACCTCAATCAATATAACAGAGGTGATCAAAAACGCCACGAAAGTTCGTTGTTCATAAAATGCAGCCATACTGAAATAGTGTATTTGTACATTATTATTGTAACCCTTCGTACAAATGTCACTGTGAATGTCAGTAAAGACGGACCAATTAAATTTGACAGTTCAGACCCAACAGTTCTGTTTTGCTACAAATTGATCATGGATAATTAAAAGTGATTTGTGTATCACTTTTAAGAACGATTTAGACCTAAAATAATGTCCTTTCAACGTTCCGTGTTTAATAATGCCCCGAGAGTTTTCATCACAAACTTACATTCAACCGAAATCCGTATCAACCTGTTTACGGCTGGCGGTACACCGTTGAAGGCGATGCATTCATAGTTACCACCGCAGTACCGACTGACGTTGTGGATGAGGAGGACTTCTCCGCTGATGCCGATCTCTAAAATACAGCAAAACATGTCATATCGATAGAACAATCAACGGTAAAGTACAACATATCGAACACTATATATCAGGTTTAATAAACCAGTTAATATAACTGCTACAACGACTGCATACCATAACAGAGAATAAAATCATCTTTACCAATTTGCATCCATTAAACAAAACACGACGTAATATTTTTTATCATTTCTCAAGAATCTACTCATTGCTCTTAAAGGTACAAATTCCGGATTTGTATTTCCTTTCATACAGCAGATTTAATGTACTTTCACTTTTACTTTACTTACATATAGTTAATTGTAAGTGTGATGTTAAAACGGGACACGTACATGATCAAAGTGTCAGTAAGTGTTCATTCAGATGCTTGTGGCAGAACAAAGTTTAGAGTTAAAAGGGACAGAAATAAACTAAATGTATGCATAAACTGAATGTATGCATGAATTATTATGCATGAAGTGAATAGAATTAAAATTCATCCAAGACCAGGAAGAACGTATTTCAACCATGCGTAAGAAATACGGTTCATGCTCTTACATTCATGCTGGTAACTTAAATTAAAATACTTCAAATCAAAGCGAATCAATTTTAGATTCATCCAGAAACTGTCATTCCCATTCCGTAAATAATACCAATATTGTTCCGTGCATCTGGGACTATGTGGAACTATCATTATATTCAATCGTAAAAGAACGAATTATACATTTAAAACGAGGCTTTTAAAGAATGCATTTTACCTTTAACACATGTGGAAGAGAATTTTGATGATACATATATTTGGTAAGTTGACCAACGCGTAATTGCAGCTACATTATCCATCTCCGTAGATTGTCGAGTAACTGCATTTTATCCTCAGCAGTCAATTCCACTTGTGCTTGTTTATAATGCTCATGCATGCCGGCTACATGCATGGCGTGTTAATGATTGCCAGGATTCGGTTCTAATGCCGATTTCGTGTTCGAAAAAGGTTATTTCACATTTCACCTTTTTCTGTGCTATAACACAATCCTTTTGGCATGAGTATCGTCTTAAGGTATTTCAAAAAGATGAAACGAAATTATGTAGTTTCCATGGTATTGCTTGCGGCACCGAGGTGTACATGGTATTTACAATGTACTTTGAAAATATCGAGTTGAGTGTGAACATCAATATTGTATATGATGCGCATGTACCTTGAACGCTTATTTAGCTGTAGTTCAGACATGAAAGAAGCATCATGACACGAATGCATTTATTATACATGTAGACTAAAATACCAGGAACAGAAACATCATCAGAATGCGCTGCTATGGTCTCAGAGGCAGAAACTCTACGATTTGTTTTCACTTCTCAGTGATTCTCAAAATCACCTATGGTTTAGTCAGTTACCGTTATCAACTACTGTTCCGTTTCAGTTATATGCAAATGAAAGAGTTTGCATATGTACCCTGGAGTGTGTTTTCCTGGGAAAGGACTTGAACACTAGGAATGATAAGCCCAATAGTGCACCATGCACCTGGGTTGGTGAACATAATATATGACTGCACATGAGGGATAGTGAACATCGGTAAAGGACCTGTACACACGGGGTGGTGGGCACCGATATAGGACCTGCACACAAGGGGGTTGTGGGCACCTGTATATGACCTGTACACAAGGTGGTGGTGGGTATCGGTATAGGACGTGCACACAAGGGGTTGAGGACACCGGTATAGGACGTGCACACAAGGGGTTGAGGACACCGATATAGGACCTTCATTGAATGAGTGGTGGGCACCTGTATAGGATCTGCACACAAGGGGTGGGGGCACCTGTATAGGACTTGTAACAAAGGGCGGTGGGCACCGATACACTCACGTGCAAAAGTAACGTCCCCAAGTATTTTTCAACTACCAAACAACACAAGCACAAACACGAATAGATATGAACGTTTAATATGCATAACGTAGGTGTATGTAAAACATGTCTGACATAAGAAAGAGAACGTGGTAAACCTAACAGTGGTACAAGGAATGTTGTCACATGGGGGTCGATTGTCCAGTATTCGAGCGCAAGCCAAAACAAATAAATGACAAAACAGAGGTTGAAATGGGAAGGCAGATCGTCAATACCGCGCATGTCCACCCCTTACATCGGTGCACGTCAGAACACGTCGTCGGGCCGAGTCTCCTGATCACGTGACTGGGGATCCGTCGCAATTCTGTCTGTAATGCCTGAGCCAGTGCATTTCTCGTCAATGGATGGTGTGGAAGCTGTAGAATCCGACGTCCATGATGGCCCCACAATTGCTCTGTCGGAGACATATCAGGAGATCTTCGTTGCCAAGGCTGGACGGGCACGTTGTTGACGTTGAGAAAGGCCGTTGTGACAAAAGCGGTGTGAGGTGTTCTATTGTCTTCTTGAACCAAGGTTCCCGGATATTGCTGGAGGAAAGGCAGGATATGGGGCCGCAGAACTTCATCAATATACCGACGGGCTGTCAGGCTGCCATCGATGATAACAAGGTCGGTCTTGGTGGTCCCACATGCCACCCCAAACCGTCACACTCCCTCTACCATATGGTTCCGTTTCCTGAAACGCAACAACGTGCCGTCCGGTCCCCACGCCAGTGATAGACACGTCTTCGGTCATCAGTTCTGTTCAAATAGAACCTACTCTCGACGCTGAAAAGGACCCGTTGCCGGTGACGAACATTCCTGGCCAAAACCAATCTTCGACGTCGATATTCCGGCGGTAACATCATGCCCCTCAACGGTCTATAGGCTCCGATTTCCATGTTGACGTTGTCGTCTGGACACTGACCACCTGCTGACGCGATGACCAAGGCTAAGCACTGAATATGACGTCACGGCGAGGAATATGTTGCTTAAATGAAGCGTCCGTATATAACGGTCCTCTTGTGGGGTAGTGACTGCCGGTCGATCGCTCCTCGGCCCGTCTGCTGTCCGGCCAGCTTGTCTGTAACGTGTGACCAATGTCCAAATCGTTCTTTTTGCACAACCCAGGATTCTTCCAACATGGTCGTACGTTGCTCCCAGCTGCAGCATGCCAATTGGTCTTTCTCTCTTTTCTGCTGTTAATCGAGGCATGTTCTGCTGGTTTTTCAGATGATTGTGATTGCAAAGAACAGTTTCCAAGGTGTTTTTTAAACCGATCTCCATACGGGTGATTTACTGCACGTGCAGGAAATTTCACTGAATAAAGTCATTTTTCCCGATTCTGGCATACAACACGTGCATTTTATTGGGGTGTCATACATTTGTGTGTTTGGGCAATGTATTCCGAACTGTTTTTCATGTTTTTGGCCATATCCAGCAAATATGATGTAATTTAAATTTTGGGGACGTTTCTTTTGCACGTGAGTGTATAGGATCTGCACACAATGGGTGGTGGGCACCGGTACAGGACCTGTACGCAAGGAGTGATGGGCACTGGTATAGGACCTGTGCACAAGGAGTGGTGGGCACTGGTACAGGACCTGTACGCAAGGAGTGATGGGCACTGGTATAAGACCTGTACACAAGGAGTGGTGGGCACTGGTACAGGACCACACAAGGAGTGGTGGGCACTGGTGGTGGGACCGGTACAGGACCGCAAGGAGTGATGGGCACTGGTATAGGACCTGTACACAAGGAGTGGTGGGCACTGGTACAGGACCTGTACGCAAGGAGTGATGGGCACTGGTATAAGACCTGTACACAAGGAGTGGTGGGCACCGGTACAGGACCTGTACGCAAGGAGTGATGGGCACTGGTACAGGACCTGTACACAAGGAGTGGTGGACACCGGTACAGGACCTGTACACAAGGAGTGGTGGGCACTGGTACAGGACCTGTACACAAGGGGTGGTGGGCACCGGTACAGGACCTGTACAAGGAGTGATGGGCACTGGTACAGGGTACACACAAGGAGTGGTGGACACCAGGACCTGTACACAAGGAGTGGTGGGCACTGGGACCTGTACACAAGGAGTGGTGGGCACCGGTACAGGACCTGTACACAAGGGGTGGTGGGCACCAGGGTACCACAAGGAGTGGTGGGCACTGGTACAGGACCTGCACACAAGGAGTGGTGGGCACCGGTACAGGACCTGTACACAAGGGGTGGTGGGCACCGGTACAGGACCTGTACGCAAGGAGTGATGGGCACTGGTATAAGACCTGTACACAAGGGGTTGTGGGCACCGGTACAGGACCTGTACGCAAGGAGTGATGGGCACGGGTATAAGACCTGTACACAAGGAGTGATGGGCACTGGTATAAGACCTGTACACAAGGAGTGGTGGACACCGGTACAGGACCTGCACACAAGGAGTGGTGGGCACTGGTATAGGACCTGCACACAAGGAGTGGTGGGCACTGGTATAGGACCTGCACACAAGGAGTGGTGGACACCGGTATAGGACCTGCACACAAGGAGTGGTGCACACCGGTGTAGGACCTGCACACAAGGAGTGGTGGGCACCAGGTATAGGACCTGCACACAAGGAGTGGTGGGCACCAGTATAGGACCTGCACACAAGGGGTGGTGGGCACCAGTATAGGACCTGCACACAAGGGGTGGTGGACACCGGTATAGGACCTGCACACAAGGGTGGTAGACACCGGTATAGGACCTGCACACAAGGTGTGGTAGACACCGGTATAGGACCTGCACACAAGGAGTGGTGGACACCGGTGTAGGACCTGCATACAAGGAGTGGTGGGCACCGGTATAAGACCTGCACACAAGGGGTGGTGGGCACCGGTATAGGACCTGCACTCAATGAGTGGTGGGCACCGGCATAGGACCTGCACACAAGGAGTGGTGGACACCGGTATAGGACCTGCATACAAGGGGTGGTGGACACCGGTGTAGGACCTGTACACAAGGGGTGGTAGACACCGGTATAGGACCTGCACAAGAAGTGGTGGGCACCGGTGTAGGACCTGCATACAAGGGGTGGTGGACACCGGTATAGGACCTGCAAACAAGGGGTGGTGGGCACCGGTGTAGGACCTGTACACAAGGGGTGGAAGGCATCTGTGTAGGACCTGGGGTGGTGGACACCGGTACAGGACCTGCACACAAGGGATGGTGGGCACCGGTATAGGACCTGCAAACAAGGGGTGGTGGGCACCGGTGTAGGACCTGTACACAAGGGGTGGAAGGCATCTGTGTAGGGGTGGTGGACACCAGTGTAGGCCCTGCATACAAGGAGTGGTGGACACCGGTACAGGACCTGCATACAAGGGGTGGAGGACACCGGTACAGGACCTGCACACAAGGGGTGGTAGACACCGGTATAGGACTTGCACACAAGGTGTGGTGGGCACCGGTGTAGGACCTGTACACAAGGGGTGGAAGGCACCGGTGTAGGACCTGTACACAAGGGGTGGAAGGCACCGGTGTAGGACCTGCACCATTGGGTGGTGGGCATCGTTGTAGGACCTACACACAAGGGGTGGTGGAGAGCCAGTTAGGACCTGCATAGAAGGAGTGGTGGGCACCGCTTTAAGAACTGCAAACACGGGATGCAGGATCTGCACATTCAGAATAGGATCGATAGAACATGAGGTTCAATATTTTGGTTATATAAATAAGTAGATGCTGTTATATATTTATTATACTTATGTACATTTTAAAAAAAAATGCAATGTGCAATTAGAATTAGTTGAAAAAAAGTACCAACTTTGGTGTTTATGTGTCTTTTTTACGAGTTTCCAATTGACTATACAAATTTGCATTTCATTGTGAACCAATTCTAATTAGTATACCTAGCAAGTAATGTCTAGACAAAACACGCTTACCACCAGGCCGGTCACCCAGTTTCTCACTTACAGTGGAAATCATTATATTCAGCATTGTCGCCTAATCTTGTGGATGATAGACATAGATCCTTATTAAATCCACAAAGAAATAAAGTGGTTTACTCTGCAGCTATGGAAAGTGACAGGTGATCCGACTGAAGAATACAATTTCCTCCACCCCTGACTGTGCCTGTGTCCTATACGTCCCCCTGACGTGATCTTTACGGCCAGATTGACGCCAGACAGACTCCGAGGTTTTATTAAACCAACTGTAGTCCTTAAACACACTTTAATTTCCTCCGTTCAGTGTTCGCTTAATTTCCTGACTTTGATTTCGCTGTCAAGTCCAAACTATGCTAAAAGTAAAGTTCAAAGGATACTGTCAAATACCACAGAGCATTTCCTCCATGTCGCTCGGATTAATGGCTTGGATATTTCATCATTTTTCTTTTCCTGTCGTTCCGTATTTATATCTAAGAGGAAATAGCTATCTTTTCGTGTCAAAGTAGCCGCGTTGGAACAGTTATTTCTCAGAACGTACAGCATTGACAGTCGTTGGTGGGTATTTATTACACAGCGGCTATATATAGATGTGTCTTCCCTGTGCCAGAATCGGGTTTAATGCTACTTCGGAGAGTACAGTTCCCATCCTTGAATTGCCCTGACACTTATATTGCCCAACGCCACAATGTAACTTTCCATGTTTTCTCGATATTGAGTCGTGTGTGAGGTTTTCGTACATAGGTTGAAACTTCTGTGGTGCCGACATTGCTTGTTTGCACCAACACAATTGTAAACCATTGTGATGCTTTGTCTGATGCAGCCAAGTTCTGAAACTTCATGTATAGTAGAAAAAAGTGTTGCTTCCAATGGATATTAACAAATTTAGGTACATAATGAATGCCACGATAATATTACAGTGTTAATTTCTATACCAGTGCAAGGTCAAAACATGTATTAATCGTGTTGTACAGTTTGCAAGTAACCGTGCCATTTAAGTTGGGAGACTTTATTGCAACTCCTTCAGAATATTCGTACATATGTCGAGGTAAAATCTTCAGCTGAGATCTCTACGTCGAAACAGTGTACAACTATTGCAATAAGCGAGCGAGAAATATTCTCTCAATATCTCCATGAAATAGACATGAAAATTAGCTTCAAATGTTGTAACCATGTGGGGATCGAACTTCAAACGACGAGCGAACACCTGAACCGCATGCCTAACACATCATCTCTTGTTACAAGAATGACAATAGGAACGCGGGTATAACTGTTGTATACCAGTCAGTCTGGGATAGGAAAACTGGTACATATTTTGCAGTTACAAATCTCATAAAACAGCAACCTCTGAAGATATGTACTGTTGTTCAAATAGAATAAACGTCAGCATCAGAGAATATTCAACAGTCTTTTTTTCCCCTGATGAACAGATGTTGTTGGACGTAAACAACAAAAAACAGGTGAACTTTGTATGAATGGGTCACTGAAAACCATGGATGACACCAGGTGGTTGCTGTGCTATGCACCATAGGTACGTGCATGTACGTATAGAATACCATTCAAACGTCTTGAAGCAACTGGCATCAAACAATCACAGGCACCTTGTGACCACCACTGTCAAAGGTTGAGTAGTAGGCAGCCAAACAACTATGACCGGACTGTTCTTTTGCTTCTTGATTAAAAAATTCCCCGATTAACGAACCCTAAATATTGACGAAGGTTTTATACCTTCTTAACAGGACTCGTCCAGGATTTCTAGATCGACGGGTCGTACGACAGGCGTTCATCATACATGCATGAGTATAATTTTACACAGGTACGACGGCTTAAACATTGGCATTACACAACACAGTTACAGGGATGGTTACCATAGTTATTTTATATACATTTTACTATATTATTGTCATATTCAAAGGACCTTTCAGGTAATTATTGTCTAGTGGGTTACTTTGGGAATCACATAAAATGAACATGCAAACAAAACCAAATATATCTTACTATTCGTGCCTGGGCAGAACTCACTGTCTTTGCTAACATCGTCCTTGGTGGGATTGTGTCTGTACCATGTGACGGTTGGCATGGGGATTCCTGTGACATTGCATATGAGTGTCACCGTCTCGCCTTCTCGTACAGCCATGTCCTCGGATGAGAGCTCAGGTAAAATTTTTGCTGGCACTAAAAGCCAAGTAAATTGTACATTAAATGTGGTACAATGATAAAGGGAATATTTGAACTGCTGCACTATAATGATAATGCATGTAGTTAACAGCGATCATTTGTAGAGCTAAGTTTCAAAGTTAGGATTTAATGATGCCAGTTAAACTGTCTTTTTGGCCCAGAATGCAACATGCAACATAAACGAGTAAAATATTTTTTTGAAGCCTGTTGTCTCAACTTAACCTCGGGAAAAAACATTTGTCAGTATTCACTGAACGCGATACCATGTGTAATATATGCAGTTTATGTAACATGAAAAACCTAGCAAGAAACGCCTATCCTTTTCAGTGCACATGCATGATTCATTTGGCGCCGGTTTCAAGAGGCGGTCTGTTCATCTTTGGGGTTTGTTAGTAGTGTTCTGTATTTAGCAATTTCATATCTAAATCATAAGGGTTACTTTAATTTTTAAAAGGGTTTTTATGCAATTACATGACAACTTGAAAATGATTTCTAACGTTTTTATCACATTATCTAAAAAGAATTGTGTTAGTAGAACATTTGTGTTTGCAAGAAAGTTTGCAGAAAGTATTTCCTGCAGTGAAACAGCTGATCGGTTTGTAATAGTAGAGATAACGATTTCCATAGCTTTATTTCTTATAATTAATCACTTTTAAGCGCACAGATACTGTGTTTACAATGTGAGAAACATGTTCCAAAAGAAGTTAAAATGCAAAATTTATCCTTTAAAACAAAGTTATTTTGGTCGAGAAATTTCAATAAAATATATTTACACAAATAAAAGTACATTTCTTGTGATTTCAACAATTTCAATATTATGGGCCATTCTGTTTCTTCCAATAGCGACATGTACAGGACATTGGCTCTGTGCGCCGACTCGATTGATCTTGGGTGAGAATTGGCGCCCAAAGGTAATTTCAGGCCATATGCTGTCACTAACTAAATATGACAAATATTGGTAAGGGGCTCACGGGTTTCGCTCCTTCGTCACAATAAACGTGAAATATGCTGATACCATTTCCCCAGGGTCAGTCCAACATCCCCAGTCTTAGTTAGATATAGAACATAACGTTCCTCCGCTTGACTAGGAACACGATTCGATATTTTCCGGAAATGCTACATTTAATGTAATCAAGGATGTTGATCTCTTGGGAGAGCCCTTTGAAAACAGGATCGATAGTAGGTAAATACCTCAGTATAATTGTGACTGAAAACGCACACTGAAAATCACAGTGCTTTAAGATTTACTGTCACATTGTGTCACGTTGAATCAAAATCGTAATTACGGGTTTCAATAGCACCGTTTCACTGCAATTGAGATTATGGGTTGTCAGAAGAGTAGAAACGCCAGTCCCGTCTTCATGCTTTGAACAGAAATGACTCATTGCGACAGGCTCCCTGATTAAACTTAAAATTGAATGTGTACACATGTATACATCAAAAGTCTAAAATTACTGAGAACAAAATCGATCACTTTATCGGAAACATTCTGCTTCATGTGTTCATCTAGAAATATTTTATTATGTAAATACGTGTTTCATAGAGGTATATGGTAGCAAATTGTTCTTCGATGGAAACGAGGGTAAATATATGTTGTAGGAAAGCTTGACCAGTAATGTAGTGTTTTGAGAAGATATCCTACACCCACATATCCTACAGTTTAGGTAAAAAGGAAGTGACATTATACTTCCAACGTCATAACACATAACTTATGAAGTGACTGAGTTAGTTTGGTAGCGGCATTAACTTATTCCAGTTTTATTACCGCGAGTCGGTTTAATGTGGCAGAAAACATGTGGTGCCACGTGATAGTGATATCCCAAAAATGAGTGAATTCTAGGTATTGACAAATAACTACATTTTGACTGTCCAAGATATCAAGTGTATTACTGAGAACACGATCGATCTCCCAACCAGTTTGTGGCCATATGCATTATAATGTTGCATCTGGAGGCTTAGTGTTGACAAACGGACTAAAAAATTTCTTGTCTGACAACTAAAGCAAAGAAGGAAAACCCAAAACATTTTGGAAATTAGAAATCAACTTTGCTGAGCTGTTTTGTGAGTGGCAAGGCAGTGTTTCCTGGAATCCAACTTCGTCATTCCAAAATCGTTCACAGCTTTATCGATTTCCATGTAAATAAGTGACTTCAGTGAACTATTGCTTCAAGGGAATATCAAAGAAGTTATTAAACAACTGAGGGAGTCTAATCTCAGAATGGAACTATTTACTAAAAACACAATAACTCACGTTGTTACGAGTTTCTGACTACACAAGGCCATTGAGGAAATCGGTTACAAAGTAGAAAGTACAAAATATAAAGGTCAGAGTATAGTCAGCCTCAATTATGAGTTCTTTTGAGCGTAGAAGGCAACATAGTGATGATGTTTATATGAAATGAAAGTATCGTCACATATGGACGCTGGGGGGATCGTGATTTGTTATTGATGTTACTTTTACCAGGAAGTAGGATTCAAGACTTTAGGAGGTTGAAGCTGAAAATATGGTATCTACACCTTACAACTTTTCTGGTATCAAAGTGTTTGCTCTTTCTATGAAGGTTTAAGACAGCATCATTCGACTCCTTTTCAGAGTTGTTTGATCTGGGTTTCAGTATTCAAGGATGTAGTAAAGTTGAATGGGAGATATCTGGATGACATATCAAAATTTGAATCATTGCTGATCAGCATGATATCTACAATATAGAACAAACTTTACTGATAACAACTTCTTTTTATTCGTGAGTGCGACGTTTCGATACAGATTCTTGTACCGTTGTCAAGCATGATGGACCTTTGACAACGGTACAAGAATCTGTATCGAAACGTCGCACTCACGAATAAAAAGAAGTTGTTATCCATAAAGTTTGTTCTATATTGTGCTTCCCAACTTCTAAAATGCCACTCAAAGAAGTTAGCATGATATCTGATGCAAAAACGTTCACGTGTTTTCAGGTGAATAATTAACTTGCGTTATTATTTATTTGTGAAGGGATAGTGTGTGGTCGTGCTTTTCTTGATATTATAACTATTTGATAGTGATTCACAACTAAACATATAATGACACAATTCGAATTTCAACAACACTCTAACCTCGACTGCGCTCGAAATAAAAATCAAGATATTTCCTTCTTTGAAATGAAAACAGCTGATACAATGCACCGCAAAGCTTAGGAAAACTATTTCATTGAATGTTGTGTCCATCTTGTGTTTACCATTGTCATTGTAAGCGGCAAATGTGACGTCATGGTGAACAATAAACTGTGACGTAATGATAAGCTTGTAACATTGTAACCTGTAACTGTAATGACTCCTTGAACAAAAATGTTGAAACGCCGAGAGAAATTCGTGTTGTGTCATTATATTCTAAATATATTAATGTAAGTACTAGTGTACGCTGCTGAACGCCACCCTGGATACCATATATATAATATCACATCAATCTATTTCTTTAATCATCACGTCTTGCAATGTTCATCCTGGCTTTTTTGTGTTCTCGGTCCTATATGGTAGCTGATAAAATGTTAGTTGATACTGATTTCATTTAATGGGATTAAATTTTAAAACAAATAAAATATAAATGCATACACAGACCAAAGTCTTAAGTCTGAATCGAAATTGCTAAGTCTTAAGCTATCACTTTGTTCAAAACCTTTCTACTCTACATTTGCTATCTATTTTATGTTGCCCCACAACACTATGTAATATAATAAACAGTTATAAACCTTACCCCACAGTTAGATATGGGTAAAATAAGGTTTTACTAACTTATATACACAAAGTCATGAAGCCTTTCTTCCATTACGATACAAGTAATCGTATATGATAAAAACTAGAGGGGGTAATCATCTAAATTATGGGCTGTGGTAAGTATTTTAAAGAGAAGAAATTACAAAGTGGTCGTCTGAATGTGTATGTCACCACACCAATTATATTATTATTCCTCTCGTCATTTCAGATTAACACTTTGCTTCCCGGTATAAAAGCGCGACTACGCATAAAACATCATCTGGGAATTAATCTTATCATGTTCATAAAATATTGTACAAGTTGTGCGAGGAAACTCAAACGCGAAAGAAATGGTTATTTGAGTTTCACTGCCAATAAAGGAATCGGTATTAATCAGGCATGACTTCACCAGCTAAAAGAACCATGGCATATATTTGAGTATCAATAAACTCATTCAGCACCTTTGATATTTCGTTTTTATGATTCTTTTCTTCGGAATCAATATCACGTTCTTGTGTTAAAGCTGTGCCCGTCTTGAATTGCTCTTCGTATGAAATATCTGGTTTCAACTCATCAGTCTAGTTTATCATAATGTTATGGTTTCCTCAAAACAATCATTATGGTGTTGCACGTGTATTTGTGTAAAGAGTAAAGTGCACATTTTCATTTCATAGCATTATGGCTTTTGATTTCATACTGTCTCTGATCTAACGAAACATATGCAAATTTTTAAATAGAATTCCAATTCTAACCAGGAATAGATGTTATTAGTTACCTAAACATCATTATGTTTTTCACAAAAACATGCAGTTTGAATGTATTTAATGTACAATATTAATGTATGTAATGAACGATTGCAACTAGAGTTCACCATAGTTTCTGAGAAAGTCTGTCACTGAAGGTACTGATGCATTGAGTTTAATGTGCTGAAATTCAAAACTTCGTAAATTGGCAGCTATCTCATTTGGCAGGTTTGTTCTTGACATACTCATTTACATACTGCACGGTATATTAGTACGCTTTGATAAAATCGTTACCTATTACGTTGAGGTTGATGGTTTTGATCTTGACAGGACTCGTGTTGATTTGGCAGCTGTATATTCCCTGATCACGATATCTAACAGAACGGATATGAAGATTCCAGTCCTTCGTGTAGGGTCTTTCAATACTCAGACGCTCATCGTCGATGATGCGCCGGTCCTCAAACGTCAACAACGTCGACAGCTGATCGGTCCACACCACCTGTGCGAATTAGAGACAACGCCGTTGGAACTCGTATAACTCGGTCCATGATGTATTTTGGGGTATGAGAGATGACAATAAATTGTTTATGGTGTCTGGCATGTGCAGAGGGATGGCAGTGAAAATATTGCACATATCGACAGTTAACACATAAGCAAAGCAAACGCTAACACACTAACACAGACGCAAACTGTCTACATTAAGATACCACAGACAATTGCAACATGCATGTAAAATGAATAGGTGAGGTGAGGTGAAATTGGGTTTAACGTCGTGCTTGAGAATATTACGCTCATATGACGACGTGCATACGTGTGTATGTGTATGTGCGGCTGCTTGTACTAGCCCAGACTGAAGCTGGTTTTATAGTGCTAGCCCACTGAGATACCACGCCGCAGTGAAGCATGAATACCCCACTCAGACACATTATACTGACTCCGAGACACCCAGTCCTTGTTGTACCCATTAATGCCGAGCGCCAGGCAGGGACCGACAAGTATCATATTTTAACGTCTTTTGGTATGACGCGGTCGGGGATCGAACCCGCGACCTTCCGCTCTCCGGGCGGACGCTCTAACCACTACATGTAAAATGAATAAGGCCATACGTTAGAGGTTGTTGAAGGTGAGAAGATTTGAGACGGGGATAACCGCGTCTTCAAGATCATTCCACCTGTATTCGAAGTGTGTGTGTGTGTGTGTGTGTGTGTGTGTGTTGTGTGTTTTGTGTGTCAACAGTCAAATCTAATACGTGCCTTTAAATGATTTTTTAAATCGTTTATCAAGTCACTCAAATTTAAAAAGCATATGAACAGAGAATCCTTATTACGCACTAACACAGAGGCACTGTCTACAATTCAAGCCTGAATTAAAACCACCAATAGTGGAATATAGTGCACCTCTAAAACATAACAGTGATCTCTGCAGCTCAACAACGTCAAACCATGCATTACTCCATGCCAATACCCTGTTTACTTCATGCATTTACTTTAAATCTTCAATGTGTATTATAATCGTCACAATGTCAACATTCATGACTTGATAATAGACAATTTTAAACTTCCCATTATCGTAAAAACACCTCAGAGCTTATAGTAATAATGTTGTCTCACAAACCTGCCTTTCATTAGACCAGTATGTTAATATTTTTAGACGGAATGCCTACATGTTTCATCAATATTGCACTTCAAAAACAATAACACGTGGTATACATAGTGACGAATCAAATAGATTATTGTCATGGGAATAAACTTTTAACGTCATTGGTGTGTATTTTTAAGAAAATATAAAAAGTATGTATAAATTGTTTTGACCTCTTTCACCACGTAAGACATAACTCGAGTGACTCTGAGAAGATGCCTGATACGCCATTTTGAAATCCATACGAATTTAAGTCTAGCAAACTGAGTGGTATGATATCAGTGTCTTATGTGTAGCTTTAGTAATGTCATCACCGACATTCCGCTAAACAGGATACCTCCACGTCGTCATCTTCTTGTAACGTTATTGATCTCAGGGCTAAATGTCTTCTGTACATTAAAACGTTGCTCTGAGTTAGTGTTTCGTTAGCGAAGGCAAGTATTTACGGTCGAAGCGGGGATGGTTTTATGCTTCTAGTAATAAGCCGGAAATAGTTCGATAAATTAAATTAAGAATTACCAGCATAACAAGAGGTATAATTTTAGTTAAATTAATTTCATGGCAACACTGTTCATGCAACATGCATAAGCTTCAATATAGCTTCAATTCAAGAGACTGAATCCAACTATGAACTGCAGATGCGTTCTTGAAGTGTGTGTTCAACGAGTCAAAATAAATGGAAGATCTTTCAAGGCTGGATTAAAGGCATTTGTCTTCAGTAAATATATCTTGCAAAGGTCGTGCTTGTTTTAAGGCAGTAATTTATCAATATAAATACGCGCACGGCTCTAATTGTTGCGTCTCACAAGCGACAATGCCAGTTCAAGAGGTTTGCCATTTTATTAAGACATTAGCCAATCGCAAAGAGTGATTTATTCCACGCGTCTTAACCCCTAAGTCTAGCATTTATACCGACATTATCAATATCGTCAATTAGACCCATGATATCGATCGGCAAGATTAGGACAGGCTTAGCGTGCAACTAACTGTCCACCAAGAAATAAAACATGTCAGAGTATCTCCATGGGTCGCCGAATTTCCAATAATTTGCCCACCTTCCAATTGAGAAATCCCTCGCGCCCGTTTCAAAGTTGGGCAAAAACGCCAACGGAGTAGCATAAATTTCAGAATTAATCTGAATAACTCCCAGACGGCGGTAGGAAATTGGCTATTTCTTCATGTAGTATTGTCAATTCATGTTGCCTCTCTGTCATGCATGTTTTGTAAGTCCCTGGGTTTTCTCATGAAAGTTATTTCCTTTACGGGATTAAACTTGTAGAATGCTGAGGCCTCGACTAGCTGATATCATATGACGGTTCTCTACATCACACGACTTTTTCACGCATTTGCTTTATCGTGTGATATGCACGAATCCTCTGGTGCACTTGTATTAATCTATATGCGCCTTCCAGATCCGGACCTTTCACATCAGAATGGATGAAAAAGATTCGTGTTTTAAAGTTTTCAGAACGAGTACCGTTATTGGAAGATGATTACATTTTTCGATGTATGATTAAAAAGTGTAATCCTTGATTTTTAAATAATTCTCGAAGTGATCCTTTTTGAACAAAATCATTTGAAATAGTTTCACTTCATAAATCGATAGACCGAAATAGCACGAAATGCATGTATTAAAATGGCAACATTTGCTGACTCCAACTTAAGCGCTAAAACACCTAGATGACAGGACATGCGTAATGTCACCCCAAAGAACGCTTGAAACACGCAACGTATTGATGATCAATCTAAATTCGAATTTAAATATTAACCCTAAACATTTCACAAATGCTTGTTAAGGCGCATCTACATTTTGAATGGACTGAATGTATATGCATGTGATGTTCACGAAATGCTCAGTGATAACGACTGCCAAGGTAGCCAACTCGCTTAAGGCGCCCAATTCGCGGAGTTGTAGACTAACGCTTAGTCCCTGAATGTATATAACTTTGATAGTAACAAATGAACCCAATTAAATTGAAAAGGAGCCGTAGTGAGTTGGGACCTGGGGAATCTAGACTTGCTTCATTCAGGGATTTAGCATTGCAGGGAGGGCTGGGCAGTTGTTAAAATAATGTGGTTCAGGGTCTATGACTGACTGACTGACTGAATTGGGTTTTACGCCGCTTTTAGCAATATTCCAGCAATATCACGGCGGGGGACACCAGAAATGGGCTTTACTCATTGTACCCATGTGGGGATTCGAACCCGGGTCTTCGGCGTGACGAGCTAACGCTTTAACCACTAGACTACCCCACCACCCCTCAGGGACTATGAGACTGACTAGCGGGGCCGTTGTCCACCTAAGGAGTATCCGAAACGTTTGATCGTGGGTTCGAATCCATAATTTTCCCTAACTATCTTCCATCGTTTGTGGCTGTTGCAGCCGTTTTGTGGGGATCACCAACGTCAATTCTGCCTTTCTCCAGATCCACGGTGATGGTGTTTCTAAGTATGTGGGCACAATAGACGTGCTGATACGTTTCACATAATTTCTGTGACATTAAAAAGGACGTGATACCCGTGGAATGACCCCTTCATTGTATCCATTAATCCATTCAATGGTGGTGGATTGTATGACCTATTGGAAAACATGTACCAGGCCAAGATTAGTGAGGGAGTTTCTTAGGTAATTCAGTTATAGCACTGTGTGTTTGATTTGGGTTCGAACCCTGGATGGTTAGTTTCTGGCATACCTAAAGGGCACAGGTCATCATGGTGAATCGCGACGTTTTCGTCACAGGACAGGAGGTTGAAAGTATATGAAGTACAAAATAACAAAAGTCACCAGTTATAATGTCACCAGAGAAAGCCACTTGACAAAAGTTATAAATTATTATATTGAGGGCTAAGAATTATCAATTCATATTTGAGAGACTTATTGAAAGGTCACTAACGGAAAGGAAAAATGTACATTGCCAAAATTTTCCAAAGTGGATTACACTGAAAATGATAGAGTTATGAAAATTTAAAGATTTTTCAACATGGCACCTTTGGTCACCACATTGAAAATCGGATTCAGATCTTTTCCACAAATGAATGTTATTATCATTACTCGGAACTTCCATGTCCGGTATATGTTGGAACATCAACTGAAGACGAATTTCGATATACCGTTAATTCGACATAACCGTGTTTGAAACAAAAGTAAAGATGTCACGTGTTGTTCCCCTTGTGTCACAAAGGAAACTTTACAAACTACGGTTTTCGATTATTATATAACTTAAATTCGATACAGCTGAGTTTCCACGTAGATGGATTAATTATGATATAAATGTTACTTTACCTGGTGTTGTCCGAGGAACTTTACAGAACAGGGCAAGATAGCAGTGGTACCTTCCTTAACCGTTACATTGACCATCGGAACATCAAAGCTTGGCTCCAGCTCCACACCTGCAAACAGTTACGTACGTAATATGTTGATAGATGAAAAACATAATCATCATGACAAATATAATTTATCAGTGCCACAGTCTTATCAGTGATTTAATAACGCAAGAAACGACTTTTAAAGTCAGGTGAAATATCTTCATCTCCGGAATACATTTACCCAGATGGTTAAAACAACCAGGTGTTCTCATTTCAGTCTCCAGAGTCTTCGCTTTACACATTATCAGATCAGATGTTGTGGGCGGTATGTATTTAGGGAAGATGCATGTGCAATCTATCATTGCTAATTTAATCAACTTTATCTCTCTGTAACATGAATTTACGCCGTGGTACAGTGTACTAATATGTTGAAGCACATTTAAAATTCCACTCCGCGTGTGACATGCACGTGCGAAAAATCCTCTTCGTCATCTTTGTGTTATGTCAGTGTCTATGTATGTAGCTAAGACTGTCGGGCAAAATTAAATTTACACCTGAATCTTGGATATTGGAAAACAATGACTTTACACTTATCAAACCATATTATGATGAAGACACAGCTATTATTTCCGTTATATTATGCACAACAATCGAAAACAGAATTCTTGGAAAATCATTACTCTTCGCAGAGTAGAACACTTAGTGTTAAAGTTACAATGTATGCATATACGGTACTATGTATATGTACTGTACTGCATACCCAGTCGGTAATTACATTGCCTTGAGTTTATCGCCTTGTATGAGACAATTCCATCTTTCCCAAACGAAACAAATTCGCATTAATATACTGAGGGAAAAAATAAGGGATCACATGAGAGGACAAGTGTTCCTTTATTTTTCCAAGGTTTCGTCACAAGCTTTGCATCGCAAAGCTTGTGAAGAAACCTGTAAAAAAATAAGGAAACACTTGTGCTTTCATGTGATCTCTTATTTTACCCCTCAGTATATGTACAATATACTCAAAAGAAGTTAAGGACAACGAGAGGACAAGTCAGTAAGAAAGACTCGGTTGGTCGTGAATTCTTTCGAGTAGCATATATTACAACGGTCTTTCATAAAAGTGTACCTTTGTGCCCGTTCTATGATCGAGCACTGCGCAAGCAAATGGGCATACCACTGCTTGATTTAAAGCATCCATGGATGGTTTCTCATTAGATACTTGGCTATATTAATTAATGCAAATGAGATTCCATGGAGATTGGTGGACAATATCGGGAAGTACCAAGGGCACGGTTACTATTCCCAGATAGAAACTGATAATTGTGAAGCGACCCTGACGAAATGGCTTCGGTGAACAAGTGCATCAAGATTTGATTTAGAACATCCTCAGAAGCACAGAAGGTCATGTTCGGGTTTAAGCTGCGATGCTCTTCTCTAACATGGGATGAAAGACATATCCGTGTGTATGTTCGGCGCATTGTGGTGTTAGATAATTAGGGGAACACAATACTCATTTGGTAATCACTGGGATGTCACGTCAGTTGGTTTGAAGGGGCTGCCTGCGAACGTGCGTATATGTACCCGTGTCTGTGTAATCACTAATGGCAATCCGGTCTTCGCTAGGACCTGTGGGGCTTTCTCTCAGATTAGGCTGTTACGGCTTGAAATTCCTGAAATACATGCCACTACATCCCCTCATCTCCGTCTGTCCTAACCAATAACAGATGTACTATAAATAACATCAAACGTTTCAAGAAGACCATCCAGATACCAATGAATACATTGAACGGCACTTGTAGTTATCTAGGATGACTTTAGACTAGAGGACAGGACGGGTAGCCCAGTGGTCAGGAGTTGCGCCCCTTACGTCAGCATTGATCCGCAGTCACCCGTTTATGTTTTCTATTCAGTCAGCACCATACCCATTCATCACTTCGAGCTTTCCTCTGGCACGCAGTCATTTCACTTAGTACTGCTCACAACGACGTTTAACCTCACTCACTCACTCCAAACACATTTACGGACCTCGACACGGCTGTAACACTTCTTTGATGGGTATTTAACATGGCTTTCAAAATGATTGCACTGTATTGGTGTGTGTGTTTTTGTTGTTGTTTTTTTATTTTTTTGTGTTGTGTGTCTGTCTCTGTGTCTGTGTGTGTGTGTCTGTGTCAGTGCTTTTTTCGGACTCACCGACATTTTATAGTGTCATCCCACTGAAATAACCGTTCAATATGGATACCCCATTCGGACAACATATACTGATTCCACACCGACAAGACTACATCTCCGTGAATATGTTTCACTCAAATGCTATCTTTTAAAGTATTTTGGTATGACTCAGCCAGGAGTTCGAACCATCAACCGGTCGCTCCCCGGGAAGAGCCTCAACCCACTACGGATGAAATCCAAATTATGCATATTCTCCTACCAAGGGCAAACAAACATATTAGGTATTCTGTAACGATTCTTAGCGCGTTTACGTTTATATCTCAAAGAGACACTTTATTCTAACCTGCTCGGTCACAACAGACACAATCACACTGAAATTATTATTTATTTATGCATTATAGGTTATCTGTTACAGGTCATCACGCAGGGATTATTCCGCGAGTAATAAAATACATTATCTTGCTTAGTAACAACATCACTGGGTTGACCTATATCATGTTTGGCAGAGTATATGACACTGGTTTTATTGTTTTGGCATGTGAATTTCTGTGATATGACATTAGTAAGTGCATATAAAGAGCAACTGGATATATGTTTGAAATATTATAGATAAACATAAGTGGGTGTTTTTGTTTAATGTAGTATGGCTAATGAGAGACATATAGGGAAAATTGTCATCATTACAATATAAAATTTAAAAGGCATTTTTAATAGTCCAGATATATTGAAAAGTGTCCTACCAGCGGCATGATCTACTTCAATAGAGTTCTTGTCATTAAATAAACTTTATGTTAATGATAACAGTGAAAACGATGCTCATTTGTCACATATCACATTCAAGGGTAAAAACTTACTTTGAGATGAAAATCTATTTTTTCAAACAATTTGACTTCTATTAAATATGCTAAGATCGGGTGGTTAAAAACGTAAAAAGCTCAGATAATTATTATTATCATGAAAACGTGGTCTGATTAGCGCAAAATCAAGACATTAAAGTAAAATGTACTTGATTTTAATTGGACTGTTGCAAGATGCTAAAAGGAGGATCTTCACCTTCACCTTCACCTTCACCTTCACCTTCACTTTCTCCTTCAAACATCAAGTAAACATGAAGAGAAACACTTTTTTTATGGATAGACAACTTCTTTATTGCAATGCCATCAACTAATGAAGGCTAAGCAAGAATAACTCTTCCCGACCCTTTGTCCATCTGGCTTCAGTCATTATGTGTAATCACAAGAAGCGTCAGTAATGTCAACATCCTGTACATCAACCCCCGATTATTTACAGACCGCCGCCATATAGTTGGCATATTGCTGAGTGCAGCGTTAAACAACAAGCAGACCAAACCATAAAAAGAAGCACAGAACCATACAGAAGCACTGAGCCATCGGCTTGTAAACAACCAGATAATTAAGTGATCAATGTACGGAATAATCCAGTGACACGGTGGTGCAATTACTAATAAACTTATAAATTATATAAGTTACGTATACTGCTGAGTACAATTGCGGACATTCTGCTGCTTATAAGAGAAACGGGTCAGAAATACATCCGGCTTGCATCATAGAGAGGTGCATGTTGAAGGTTAGGCTCAAACATTTTCTTTGGAAGAACTCAGCGCCATAGATAAATGCTATTGGAAGACTGATATATAATAATAATAATAATAATAATAATAATAATAATAAGGAGAGTGCCCGGGTTCTCCACCGAGGAGTACAGCCCTTCTGACACTTGGGTAATAGAAGGCTGCAGTGTTGGGGCGCCATCATATTCCAAAGTTCTTGGTGGGTCATGATAGCGTTTCCTGGGAGGTCCCATGTCTCGTGTAGAGGGGCAAGGGCCCTGAGCTGATGATGAGCCTTACCAGCCTGACAGGATCAGGTGAATGCATACAAGTTTTTAATCTGTAAATAATAATAATAATAATATTGCATTTATATAGCGCTATTTCCAAACATAAGGATGCTCAAAGCGCACAAACATGGTTTGATATTAAGAGTCAGGGAAAGCTTGGCGGAAGAGATAAGTTTTTAGTAAGGATTTAAAGGATGACAACGTTTGAGAGTCTTTGAGTTCTTGGGGCAGATTATTCCACTCAGTTGCTGCGGCATATGCAAATGATCTGTGACCGTAGCGGACAGTGTTTGTATTTGGGTGCAAATGATCTGTGACCGTAGCGGACAGTGTTTGTATTTGGGACAAGGAGAGACTTGGATATGCCATGGAATCATTCTTGTATCACCTAGCTGCTGGTGTCCCATGTCAACTGATGCAACAGGAAGAAGACATTTCAATCTTTAATGCCTCAGTGACCAAACTGATGTCTATTGCAGCACCATATTTTGACTTATGCTGTATGTTTTTCAAGCGAAAACTTGACTTACCTTTGCATGTGTTTGTGTCACCAGTGGAGAAGAGTATGTTCAAGTATCGCGTGGATACCTGGTATCATCACTTATTCAAAGTGTATAAAACCGCATAATATAGTCGAAAACAGAACAATGGTCTCTTTTATGATATTTTATATGATTATGGATATGGTTTTGTCGGGTTCTCATACATTCTCTCACATTCACCTACTTCATCATAATGGTATTGGTCCAACACCTGGTAGCTTCACTATCTCATAGTGACTTATACCGTACATGTTAGGAATAGGAATCGCACAATCGACTCATCAGATATTTGTTATGATATTAGAATGGCCTTTGTCCTTTTGTCTGGTTGAATAGTCCACGTTGTGTTTGACAGTAAATGCAGCGATTTCAGTAGACTAATATATTTTCTCTTGGATTCTACATAGAGAAGTCACAGACAAGTCAGTCTCCATGCATATGATATGCACCTTTTCATTGTGTTCTACCCTTAAATGTGTACCAGACATGTATATATAAATCTCTAGACAA